TGTTCCCCGCAGGGGAGGGAGGTGCTTCAACTCGGGGTGTCCCTGGTCGGAGAATGGGTGGGGGCTTCTTTTGTGTGTTCTCTGCCTGTGGGGAGAGGATGGCCACTTGCTGCCCCAAGGGGTAACAGATGCGGGGGTGGGTGGGCCGGCAGGGGGGCGGGGGCCGCAGGGGAAGGTTGGTGCCAGCTCTGCCACTTCCTGGAGCTCAGCTTATCTGACCCAGTTTCCCTACTGGGCCCTTGCTAAGGAGGTGGGGAGGAATGCGGTATTTGTAGGGCACCACTTGGAACAATACAGCCATCAAAAGGCCTCCCTCCCTATCTCCTTATAAGTCAGGATGCTCTTCCCTTCTTCAAAAAGGCCCTGGCCCAACAAGTCCTCTTGACCTGGTTGGAGGCTTGCTCCCCCAGCAAAAATATTTCATTTGTACCAGGGTTCTCCATGAATCTGGATTTAAATTAAGATCTCTTCCTTGAGCCCTTACTAATGTTAAAATACTATTTTTGTGATTTTCCAGGTATTGTTTTTTCCATAAAAATGATACAAACTACCTATAGGGATCAGCCAATATATTTTGCTACAAGATCTAGGACAAGAGAACTTACGCAGTATCTCCTGGGGACCCTTCACCTGCTTCTGCTACTACAAGTGATTGGACATCCGTTGACCTTGGCTCTTTGTTCATGTGTGGAAACCTTTTGTTCACTGTGCTTCAGTCTAAACCTGGCCTGAAAGTAGGTCTTGGGACTGTCTCTGGACTTTTCCAACTTGCCAAGGAGGGTATGAGATTTAAGGGAACTGTTTAGGCATAGGCTGTAGGCCAGGTTTATAAATCCACTTGGCACCAACTTCGGGCCCCAAAGATGAGGGCATTTGTAGCTGGAGTAGAAGGCAAGGGAACAATGAGAACTAAGGTTTCATTCTCTGTGATGATCCTCTCCACTACCAACCAGCACCACCAATGCATAAGTGCAGATGATTCATCTACCCAACCTATTCTCTCTCCTTCCAGGCCTTTTACAAAAGAGATCTAAATGAGCCAGTCCTCAAAGGTGGTGAGGACATGGCTGGCGACTCAGTCTCAGCTCCCAGTGCCTAAAGTGTCTAGGGATAGGTCTGCTCACTCAGGCCCTAGCTATATCCTCTCTGGGAAGTGGCAGTGCCCTGAAATAATCAGGCTGTAAACCGGTGGGGACTAGAGCCTTCTGCCCCTCTTTATTTTTATTAATATTCACAAACTTCTGTTCACTTTATTCTTTTCTTGCAGTTTCTGAAAGAAGGACTCCCAGATGACAAGAGCTCCTAGATGAAGAGGACTTTCCTACATCTGTTACTGGGATTAAGCAATTCTTGACTTCAGGAAGAAGTTTCAACTTGATAAAAGTCAAAACAGGCCTGTGACTGTCCCTTGACTACTGAAGGTGTGAACAAGCTTCTAGCTTCCCTAGGTCAAGCAGAGAAAAATTCTAATAGAATGTTGGGTTCCTTCTTTGTTATTCAAACATACACACACACACACACACACACACACACACACACACATATCCTCTTCACCCTCCCTAATGAAAAACCTCAACAGATGGAGAGCCGAGGCTCCCAAGCCTGCTGGCTGAGAAGATGCACTTCACTCAAGGGTCAGTCAGCTGGTACAGAATGGGGGAGGGAGAACAGACAAGTAGTTAGTATAGGTAATCACTATCTTTTAATACTCCTTACTATAGAAAGTCAAAGAATTCTGTTCAGCAAGGTTAGCAGCCTCTGGGGCCTGGGAAACCAATTTAGCTGATGTGTCTCTGATGGGGACTAGGCTTGGGGCTGCACCAGGGGAAAGTACTCGCTCTATATTCTCTCCCTCGCTCTCTCATTAGAACGCCTGTACAAAGAAATGGTACACGTGAATGGTTAAGTTAATGATTCCATCTGAGGTGGATTTTTTTTTGTCAGGTCCCTGGAACAGGCTGAGGTCTGAAAGCCAGGAGGCAGAATATGTACTTAATCACCTGTTCTTACTGCCTTTCCAGGGGCCAGGACTACTCTTTAGGCCTCTCCTCTGCAACTTCACACCCCTTTGGCTAGCTCAATTAGGTCTCCTCCCGTCACTCCAGGCTAGGTCCTGAGTTTCTCCTGCAGCCAGGGAAAGCTCTCCGTCAGCCTAAATCTCTTTCCCACCACCATCTCCCATTCTGCAGTGGGCCATTCTATCTGCCTCACCTCTACCCTGCTTTAATTCACCTCTGATTGTCTGGACAGAACGACTGCCACCACCACCCCTGACTGCCGCCAAGACTGTTGTCCATGGGCCCAGGCTTGCAGCCCTGACCCCTTTCTTCAGGCCTCAGGGGGATCCCCCACAACCTCCCTGATCTTTACCTCCCCCAAAGCGGTCTTTACAAGAAAAAAGCAGAGCTGGCCAAGGCCTGAGACATTCGCTCCCCGTAGGCAAACGAGGTGAACCTCCCAGAGACCAACACCGGGAGAGACACCCAGCCCTTCCCCACCTCCACTTGTTCGCCCAGCGTTGCCTTTGTGCGGCCTTCCCCCCCCCCGCAGAACCCGTAGGGAAGCTGTGCACACAATGGCGCAGCCGCTCCGGTAAGACCCAGTTGCTCAGGGCGCCCTCAACCCAGCGCCAGGCTGTGAGGGCCAGCAGCCTCGAGGCCTTGGTGCGTTCCCCATTGCCCTTGCGCGCCCATAACGGGCTAGAGTGGAGGTTTCCTTCCCTGCCAACTTGCCCCTTCCCGCCATAGGTCCTCCGGGGAGGAGAGGCCTGGGCCCAGGGCGCCATTGCCGGGCCCGGGCTCCCCTCCCCCACTCTCTTTTCTCTGCTTCTCCGAGACCCGCGGTGGAGTGGGGGGTTGAAGGCAGGCGCCTCCGCCGATAGAGCAGCTATTGTGACCTTCCCTCGCAAAGCGGGAACCCAGCCGAGTGTGTACTACCAGCGGTAGCGGGGGAGGAGGCGACTATGTGTGCAAACCTCGGGGTGCAGAGGGAGTGGCATTGGGAAATAAATAAAAGTTTGCAACCTCGGGCAGTTGGGTCCTTCAGAGGGCGTTTGGTTGTGTTTAGACTCCGGTGCTTCCTAACACTAATTGCAGGCTCAAAAGGAGCAGAATTTATGGCGAAAGCCAAGGCAGCTTGTTTATAATTTATGAAGTTTTAAATGGCTGTGTCTCGGGCCGCTCTTGCTCTGGCCTTGCAGGAAGCGCCCTCCCCAGACTCATTGTGGCCCCCACCCGCGCCAAGAGCGACCGAGTGTGCCCATCACATGACATGCCGAGGCAGGAACGGATCTGAGCCATTCTCAGAGGCCTCAGAACCTTTCTCCAAGAGGTGAGGGAAAGCCACAGATTTGTCCCAAGTGCGTTCTCCCACCCCACTAAAGAGGGTGCTTTGGGGCGTCTGCGGCTGCCTGGAGAGGGAACCCCTAACCCCGAACTTCTTTGGAGCCTGAGTGTGAGAGGAAGCTGATGTCAGCCGGGCTAGACACCGTTTAAATTCTAATCCATGAAACCCTAAGCCGCAGATGACACTTGGGGCCTTGCAGACACCCGCAGACTCAGCATATACTCCTGCGGTAACACACGGAGCTGGAAAACGCCTGGAGCCATGATGCATTATGTATTTTTATTATTACTTATGGTAGGAAGAGAAGATGAGGGGAAAACCGGGCTGAATCTAAACAGCCTGACAATTCATCTATTTAATATTTAGCCAGTTAAGAAAGGTTGTTATCTCTGCAAGGCAGCAAGCTCTTCTTTGATTTCTCTAATAGTTTAAAAAATAATTTCTTACAAGACAATTAGAAATTCTGCCTGTGGATGCAAATTTCATACAAAACAAATTTAAGCCTTGAAAGTGGGTAAAATATCCCTTCCATCGAAGTCATTTATTCTGTTGATACACTTCTACAACATGTATTCTTTAAACCTGCTCGGTAAGGTGAAATTTAGCAAAAGGATAACCCCCCTCCCACCCCTAATCTAACATGCCATTTTGAAAACAGCACAAAGGAACAAGGAAACTAAATATTTTGAGCCATCATTATTTAGCGAAACACAAACATTCAAATAGAAACGATTGTTGTTCCACCAGAAGATTAGAAGTTAAATTATTTCCACACAATAGGAATTTCACCTCGTGTCACCGGGGATGTAGTAGGAGTTGCATTATTTGTCAAACCAAATAGAGATGCGTGGGCAGACTTTGCCGAAATACAAAGAATTGAACCTTATCTGAAGGCGTGTTCCAAATGCCTCCTCCCAGAGAAGCGGATGTAAATTGTCCGCTCTTAGCTAAAGCCACGCTAATATTTACAAAATGGTTATAAATCCTTGGAGACATTTTTTGCCCATCTTGTACAAAGAAACAGGAATAAACAAGGTGTTTATACTTATGTTCCATTAATGAAACTTTTACTACTTTACATCATGGGGAATGTTTGTTTTCTTTAGAAATGAACCACCAACCACTATAAAAATCAAGACAGCATTTCCTAGAGAAAAAGCTTAGGTGCGCGTCTCCAAATGATCGTTTTTTCCTGCACCTTAGCTTTTTCATAGCTCAATTCTTCTTTAGATTTCTCTTGTGTCTTTTCTTTGATTGTCAGTTTTCTTTCAAAGTTTGTTTTTGTATTACTTAACGCAGAATCGTGAGCTCTGGCCTCCCCAATGTAAATGCAATCTTAAAAAGTCAATTTATGTCTAGAAAGAGGGAGGTAGAAACAGCAAAGCAGGCGCAGTGCAAAGCTCTCCACCCAAATCATCCCTCCCGGAGAATTTCTAGGTTTGCATCCTCATATTCCCCACACACACACACCCCCAATGTGAATAGCTGGGATGTAATCAAGTATCCCCAGAACCAATGTGTGTACTAGATTCCAAATAAATTAAAAAATATATTTCAAAGGGTCTGCCTATTTGGGGGCCTAACACGGGGATTGTGGGAAAGATAAAGGCAGTGATCTACTTGCAAGTGTGCGTGATTAACACAGATACACTTCCGACAGAGAAATTTTTTTATTCTAAATATTTGTTAAAATAGTACCAGACAATTTGAAGTCAATAAACTGTGTCGAGTGGGAGGACTGCGGCTGTTGAGAAATGAGTAACGGGGGTGTCGTGCCCACGCCATGGGGCCGCCTGACTCTACCCAGGAAGGACAATTTGCGGTCTTAATCCTTTACATCAACTACAAACACCAGCCACGGTTACAACTGTTCAAAACTACTCTCTCAACTAGTTTAGACCATGGGGACTAAAGAGGTGAAATGTGGCCCCCGCGGCCTGGGATCGCGTTCCTAAGCTCGGCTGGAGAATTCTACAAATATACACATAAATACATTAAGACGAGGATAAATAATCAGGGAAACGAAATGACTCGCTTCAAATAATAAATACAGATTGTTGAGTCCGATGCAATCCTTACGGGGCCGGAAGGAGCATATAAATTAAGGTCTCGGCAACTAGGCTACAGGCAGGCCAGGCCCAGGGCTCTCCCGGCTCCGGTCCCTCTGCAGGGCGCGCCGCCGATGGATCTCAGACTTACCTTCGGGACACCATTACCAGATTTGAGTCCCTTGGTCCGCACATGGCACTGTCAGGCTTACAGAGGAGAATCCTTGCGGCTGATTTATGGCAAGTCACCCAAAGGAGGACGCGCCTGGAGGGGAGGCCCAGTCGCCTGCGCCTCGGCCGCTGTCGGCCCGAGATCCGGGAGGCAGCAACTGGGCCAGAGCTAGGGAGGGGATCGCCAGCTGCCCCGTGGGCCCCGCCCGCCAACCCCGCCACCAAAGCAAAAGAGGTAATTGCGCCACGAGTTCCGGCCGGTGGCGGCCGCTACAGATGCGTCAGTTTGGGGGCCTCGGGCAGGCGTCCCTGAGACGAATGGTGGGCCGAAAGATCTGTGTAGGTGGGATGAGGGTCGCACGGTCCGTGGTGGTGGTTGCCGGGAATCTGCGCGGCGCAGCTGTAGTCCACGCTGGCCGAAGACGGGTGCGAAAGGTGGCCCAGGTTGAAGACCGGCCCGGACGCGGGCGCCATGGAGTCGACGAAGTTGCCGCCCACGTACACGGGGCTACCCTGCAGGTTGGCGCTGGCGAAGCCGCCGCCGTTGCTCGCCATGGGGTGGGGCTCGAACTCCGGCGCAGCGTAGCGCTTCTGCTGGGGCAGGCAGCTACTGAGCGGCGCCGTGTAGGCGGCCAGGCCGTACATGTTGGGCTGAGATTTGGCGAAGGCGGGCGGCGAGGGCGCGTCGTAGGCCAGGCCTGGCACGGGCGGCAGCTGGCCTGAGTAGGCCACGTGGCCGGCGGCGCCGCCGAGCGGCGGGCTGCGCTCCGGGGACTGACCCGCTGGCGAGTGCAGGATGCCCTTGGCCTTCTGGTCCTTTTTGTACTTCATGCGCCGGTTCTGGAACCAGATCTTGATCTGGCGCTCGGTGAGATTCAGCAGGTTGGCCATTTCCACGCGGCGTGGCCGGCACAAGTAGCGGTTGAAGTGGAATTCCTTCTCCAACTCCACCAGCTGTGCACTCGTGTACGCGGTGCGCACCCGCTTAGACGCTGGACCTGGCGGGCTCTTGTCCTCGCAGCTCTCTCCTGGGCAGAGAGAGAGAGAAAGAGGGGACGCTGATTGGGAGAGGTGGGGACACCCAAGGCTGAAGAGGGGTGCTTCCCTGGCTCCCTCTGCCTCCTCCTTCCTCCCCCAACTTTAATCCTGGCTGGAGTGGGGGAGGGGCGTTTAAGAGATGAGATTCCAAATGGGAACTCACCGGCCCCAGGCCTACCAGTCAGTCGCACCTGAAAACCCCATTTGCCTTCTGAGGTCCGATTTCCTCTGCCCGACCCCTCCCCTCCAGCCTAGTCCATCATCCCGTCCCAAAGGCCGTGGTGGAGTTTAATGGGAGACTAGTAGCAGCTGGTAAGGCCTCCCCTCTATCAAAGAAGGGCCAGACTTCTTTGAACACTCCTAGTAGTCTCTGCTGAGGAAGTGGGGGAGGGGCAGCCCCAGCCTGTCTTGCTCAAGGGCTGGCTTCTGGGCAAAGCACCCAGGAAGCATAGAATGAGGGTAGAGATCTTGGCACCTCACTCCAGCCCAGCTGCACCCAAGAGCTCTGCATCCAAACGCAGGAAGGTGACAAACCACAAAAATACTTCCCTGACTTTTAGGGGATCCAAAGCCAGGCTGGGAGCATTTTGAGTATTGCAGTGCTAGGAACAGCAGCCTCAACACTGGCTTCTACCACCCCTGCCACCTCTCAGCAGCTTGTCCACTCCTTCACTGGGAAGACAAATGGATTTCTCCTGGGAGGGAGGGCCTGAGCCTGCAGCTGGGAAGGAGGGGCAGGAGAAGGAGCTCACAGGCAGGAGGATACTTGCCCCCCTAGGAGCCAGTCCCAGAGAGCAGGAGGCAACCAGAGACCTGATAACAAGTTAGCTACATCCCAGGCTTCAAACTGGCCCTGAACCTGAAAGCAAGTTCATCCACCTGAAGATAAACCAAATCAGAGAACACAAGGCTAGAAAATTTCAGGAACCAAGCAGGACAAGAAAAAAGAGGCAGCAGGCCTCAGCGCTCCTGTACCTGCCCATCTTCTCCCACACACCCTGACAGGACGTACAGAAGATCTTCTCAACTCTAGGATCTCCCTTTCCAGGGAGGGATACCCAAGGCTGCTCCTGTTTCAGGGCATATCCCCTCCCTATTATGGATTTATTAGGATGAGAAGAATTGGGCTGGAGTGAGCAAAGTAGAATCCCATGGTTGTGCCTTGGAGGCCCTGGTTGGATTCCAGTGTACCGTTTTGTAGTTTTATGATCTTGGGCAAGTCACTTATCTCTAACAGTTTCCTTATCTGTCAAATGGGGATATTATCATACAAGGTCTGCCAATTAAGTTAGCGAACTCATCCTAGAAAAAGTGCTACATACCTCATTGCTGAAAATCACTATGATCACCTTCGAAGTACTCCCCTTGGAAAGCTATGCACTGACACCAGTACCTAGTCCACCCTTCAAAGCAATTTTGGAACTCTTTTTCTGGAATGGCCATCAGAGTTGTCATTGTACTACCCTTGATGTCTTGAATGTCATCAAAATGTCTTCCTTTCAATATTTCCTTTATTTTGGGCCGGCCAAGTGGCTCAGTTGGTTAAGAGCTCACTCAAGAGTGTGAGCTCTGAGCAACAGCGGTTCGAGTCCCAGCCCGAGCTGAGCTGCCACTGAGCTGCCAACAGGTGGCAGGATGGCTCAGCTAAAAAAAAAAAAAAAAATATATATATATATATATATATATATATATATATATATATATATATATTTTTTATTTCCTTTATCTTCAGTTAAAGAAAGAAGCCATTAGGGGCCAGATCAGGTGAGTAAGGAGGGTGTTCCAATACAGTTATTTGTTTACTGGTTAAAAACTCCCTCACAGACAGTGCCATGTGAGCTGGTGCATTGTCATGATGCAAGAGCCATGAATTGTTGGTGAAAAGTCCAAGTCATTTTTGTCTAATTTTTTCACACAACCTTTTCAGCACTTGCAAATAGTAAATTTAGTTAACTGTTTGTGCAGCTGGTACAAATTCATAATGAATAATCCCTCTGATATCAACTAGGGTTAGCATCATTGTTGCAACAAAGTTTGCTAACTTAATTGTCAGACCTTGTATACCTACTTCAAAGGGTTCTTTGGTAAACTAAATGGTTGTAAAGCACTTAGCATGGTTCTTAACATAGACTCCATAGACTTTAGTGCTTATTAATTTAAGGGAGTGGGATTCATGTGATATGGACTACATAACCACCTGGTCTTGAAAATCATACCTGTCTTCAAGTTTTAAAGAGCTATTGGATGATAAAAAAAAAGCTGAGTTGTCACCAGCAGCCCAGGAAAGCAGATATTAGGTCAGTATGAGGAAAAACTGTCTACTTATAACTATGAGACTTGCCCAGCAATGGCACCAACAGCCTGGAATGGAAGTGAGTCCCCTGTCACTGTAAGGGTATGACACCCAATCAAGAACACTAAAATGAAGGGACGTTTCTGCATCAGTAGTTTAGACATATGGCCTCCATGGTTGCACTTCCAGCCTTGAGTCTCTTGGTTCCTAGGTGAGCTAGCTTCTTGGTGTCAGTTTAAAGGGGCCTTAGCCTAGGGATGAGCCCCCTCAGAAAGCTACCTGCAGTGGCACAGCTGTTCTTCTGTTTGGAGTTCTGTCGGGACTCTTTCATCCAGGGGAATATCTGCTTGCTGATGGTGGCTGAGGAGCCAGAAGCATTGGGCCCACCCTTGGCCTTCTTGGCAGACACTCCACCTCCAGGATTGGTGGGTGAGGATGGGGGCAGGGTTGGTGGTGGAGGAGGGGGCTGTGGTGGCTGCTGCTCTGAGTTGAGACCAGGAGGCTGGCTGCCACCACCCCCACCCTGACTGCTCCCAGTTCCAGGCCGCATGCAGCTGCCATTGAGTTCAGCTCCCTTGTGGGCTGGTGCTCGCAGAGGTGCAGAGCTCTGGATGGAGCAGGCAGAACCTGGGTAATCAGTGTCCAGAGAGTTGGCAGCAGCAGGGGGTGGATAAGGCTGATGGGAGGCACTGTAGCCATAAGTGTCAGTGGCTTTGCTATAGCCATAGCCTCCAAATAGTCCTGGGTTTTCATAGTAAGCAGCTTTCTGCATCGTGCACTCAGGAAGCTCCAGGGCCTGCTGACCCTGCTCAAATAACATTGACCACCACTGTCTCCTTCACCGCCACCTCCAATGTCTGCCAAGTCCTGAGACAGCTGGGGCAGCCCCAGGCTCCAGGTGACCTGTGGAGAAGAAAAGTGAGAGGCCCCAGTGGGATTATCATTGGCAAAACCAATCAATATATAAGGACTAGCTCAGTCTCTCTGCTTCTCACCCACTTCATAGTGGGGAATCAGGGATTTTATGAAGTTCAATTTAATTGAACCCTTGGAAAAGTCAGAAGGAATTTCTCATGAACATAAGAAAAGACCTTTCCTTCTCTCTAACTCCATCCAAAGGAAGGAGCCTTTTTTTTTCTCCAGGTACAATTTTCTTTCTCCAAGATTGTCAATTTAGCCTTTGAAACTATATGGAAAAGCACTTATGGCCTCATACATTTTAATAGCCGATTTTCCCACTCAACTTTGAACTCCTTGCAGGCAGGGATTGTGTCTTATTCGTCTATGTATTCCTAACATCTAGCCCAGTGCCCCACAATAAATGCTTGTTGAATGAGTGAATGAGTGGATAGACCAATCAATCATGGAGTCATCTCAGGATTTTGATGGACAAAAGAACGCTCTATAACACACTAAGAAGAGCCGAGCTCTCAACAAAAGTATCTCCCCACCTGGTTTCAAAATCACAGCATCTTTCATGGAGACTCAGTCCACTTTCCGATGACAGAGTGAGAATCAGCCCAGTTAGCTCTGTTCAGACAGCACTGTGAAATCCACTAGGAGATAAAACCAAGAAGAGGACTTAAAAGACCCCAGACTTATTTTGAGGCTAGAAAAATGTTTCCTCTCTTTCATCTACAAGTTTCTAGACTCTACTTTGTCCTCCACTACTTTTAAATGGATACCATTGCAAATGGGTGAAGACATTTAGAATTTGAAGTGCATGGAGCATGGGTGAGTGGAGAATGCTTTACATTATAACTTTATCATTTTTATCCTGCATTTATTGTATAGATATTATTATTGACCTCTGCTCTGAATCATCCATTCCACCCCCACCCAACTCACAACCTGTGAGAGAGCCTCTCTTGGCATGATGAATGGGTCCAAAATTGGGGGGGGGAACTAAGAAAAATTCTACCCCTTTTGTCCCCTCTGACTCTTGGAGATTTCCCTTCTTACCCACCCACCCCTTTTTCTGAAAGGCTCCTAAGGAGTTAAAGTATAACTGATACCATTCAACCACTTTTGTCTGCTTGATAAAGAAAACTCAGTGCCCTGGTTTTAATTCTTCATCTCATCTTTCAGGCAACTTTCCTTCCCCCAAACTCCTTGGCTTCCATCATGGTCACTATGATGGACCACATTATCTAGACAATTTATGCGGCCTAATGGATTTGGCCACTACCACCAAAACCACTCCTCCAGTCACTCATTTCCCATCCACTTTCACCTAAAAGCCTAACCCAATAAAAAAAATATTCATACTAGGCTTTGTTTGGTTGTATTGTTGCTCATTTTTGTTTTAAAATACAAGTGAATATGCCATTAATCTTGATAAGAGACAGGCCCTTCTCAATGGGATAATAAAATACTAGGATGTTTTAGGAATTGTTTCTACTATTGTTCTTAAATGTATGCAGTTAAGCTATCTACCCAACAAAGCTTGTCTTAATCTTTCTTTCAATTCATTTTCTATATCATTCTCTGACTATTAAAGTTACTGAATATCAAATGGACAGCTACCTCCTCATCCTGTGACCATATTTATATGTGTATGCCCCCAAGCAAAAGCACCAGGTACTCTGTGTTTGGTTAAATTTCTGGACGTTTCTGGGATCCAGCTTCCAGTCTTAAACCTTGGGCCCTCTGGATGTTAAAACGGTCACATTTGACACTCAGACCACCAGAACTCATTGCTGCTTCTTTCATTCTATTTACAACTGTGGAAGCAAACATCCCTCTCTTGCCTCCAGGTTGACCAAGTTTATCTTGATAGGTGGACCAGTCACACCAAAACACAGCATCTTTAAGAACTGACCAGGTCTTTGAAACAGATATATATATATATATATATATATATATATATATATATATAAAATTTGTTCCTGTGGCATATTCCTAGAAAAAGCTCTGTGTACCAACCTCAAAAGTGCAAATACAGGGTGGCTTTTGAGCAACCACAGAGTCTGTTCTCCCGCCTCTGTTTTCATTGTAATAAGGAATTTCAAGGCCCACTCAATGATGACCCGCCACCTAAATAAATGCCCGTTTCCCCAGAAGCGAGGGCAGTAGCCCTCTGCTAAGCGGGAAGGGCTTTGCAGCCTTCACCACCGCCCCCGCCAAAAAAATATAGTGCCCTAAAAAAGAAGCCACCTTTTCTAAAACAGGACCTAAGAATATTGTTACAAAACTGGTTTTTTTAAAAAAAAGCTTATTTGTTTCCAGAAATCCCTACTCCTTGTGAACTCTGCTTGAACCTAGAAAGAAGGAATGGGTCATAAATCACTTGGACAATGGTCAACTGTTCAGTGGCTCATCTTTTCGATCACCCACCCCCTTTCTTTAAGGCTTTCTTTTCTCGCCCTTTGGTACTTCTGCTCTTTTGGGCTCCGGGACCCAAATGCCTTGGGGTGAAGACAAGCCCTTTTGGGGGGGAGGAGCGGGGGGAGGGGCGGTCTTCGAAGTCCTCAGCTGCCCTTTCCTCTTACTCCTCCTCCCCTCCACCCCCCAGTCCGGGGAACCAGCCCGGGGCTGCCTCCCCAGAACCCTGCCGGCGCCATCCCCTGCCCCTTGTGGGAAGGGGCGCCAAGCTGGGGGTCTGGCTCGTCCTTGCTCGAGGTCCCGGGAAGTTGCCCAGCTTAGCTCGGAGGCCCAACCGCAGGCGGGGAATACAGCGCCAAACGGTCCCCAGTCGGAAGGAAGGCAGCCTCTGAGCGACCACCGCCCGCTCCCTGGCCCGCCGCGCTGGCCCGCCGCACCCACCGCACCTCTGAAACAGCGGGATCCAGATACTTGCTCACTGCACTTAATTCTGCCGGGGATCAATACCTAATATGATACCGAATAAATAAAAGGCGTTCACAGCGGCCAGGGGACGGGGTTATTAAGCAGCTGGAGCTCTCACGGTGCATATCAATGCACCTGTCATTGTGGTTTGTAACAAAATTTATGACTGTGAGCTCCGCGGCAGTAAACGCTTCAGTAAGGAATGAAAAGAAAAACACTTCCCCAGGCCCGGCAGTTTTCACAAGTGGAAAACAGGCTCCGCGTAGGAGGAAGCGCAGCAAAAGAATGCAGTGCTCCGCACTTTTCCTGGGCCGGCGCCCCCGGAGCAGGGGGATGATATAAAGTAGCCGGGTGCCCGCCTCTTGGAGCAGCTCTGCTCTGCGGCCGGACGCGGGACGGGACGCTTGGAGCCTCTCCGGGTGCGAAGACCTGCTGCCTGCCGCGGCCTGGGGACGCCAGGAGGCTCGCTGGATGTGCGGAGGCCTACCCGGCACTCGCAGGCCCGCGGTGGCCGTGGAAAGGCCGAGGGACCTGGAGAGGGAGGGGGCGGCTGTGGCCCGGCTATGACTAGCGCGGCGGTGGTCGTAAATCACGGATGGGTAGTCAGTCCATGCAAGCTGAAAAAGAAGGGGGAGGCCATGGTGTGCTGGTTGCTTCTGTTATTCTCAAATTTTTCTAAGGTTCGAGTTGGCCTCGGCTCCTCTCCCTGTTTTACCTAAACCAGGGCCTTGGAAGCCCATTAGATCTCTTTCTGGCAGACAAGACTCTTGCTCGGCATCCCTGTTAATTCACTGGAACCGAGCAATGATTCTTCCCTCCCTGTTGGCTTCGCTACTTCAGGATTTCGGAACCACTCCTTTTCGGGTTTGCTCTGAAAGGGATATATTTATCTATCGCAGAGCTGGGGCAGCTTTCTGCCCAAGTTCTCCCCATCCCTCAGCCTGAGCCTCTTCTGCCCTACGGATAGCCCTGGACGGGCCTTCTAAATCACTCATATTTAGCCGAGATAAGTCAGTGCGTAGTACACCCTCCATTTAAGGCACTGGGCTCACCCCATTAAAGCGCCATAAATTTGAAGGCCGATGATCGGTTATCGTGTAACCGGCGGCAGTTCACACTGTGGTGATCCACTTCAAAGCCGCCCTTTGTTTTATGTCTTGATGTATGTACGAATCCTGAGAAGGCTACCTTGAATTATAAGACGGATGGAAATGTAGTGAAAATTATTTTTTTAAATCATGCCACTCACCACAATTCTGTGTGTATGCGTGTGTGTACGTGTGTTTTCTCGAATTTTGTCTCTAACTCTTTTTGTAGGCTCTTCGGGTTCCTTTTGATATTCTTTTCAGGTGGATCTGGAACAAAATGGAAAACTCTCAGTGGCAGCTGGTTCTTTCTTACAAGCACATGTGGAGAGGCTTTATCCCCTTTAAGAGTGTCACAATCAACTTGGCTATTGTAAAATGTGCCTGCAGCCATTCAGGGCGCCTTCTCTCACGCAGAAGGGAGACTCGGTTGGCTCTTAGGGAGCGAGTAGACTTAACTCCAAGTCTTTGGCCGGATGGGGGAAGGGAGAACCCGGACCTGAGGGAAAGGCCACACCCTAGGTCAGGGGGTGAGCCAAGTGGGTCAGAAGTGCATGGAAACCAGTCCCTCCCTCTCCTCCTGCTCCAACCAAGCTCTAAATAATCCAGGTGCCCCAATCCCGCAGGCCTAGTCCACCCTTTTAAGAGCAGAAGAGAGGGACTGTGCAGAATTGGGGTGGGAGGGAAGCTACAGTATAGCACCAGAAAAAGGTGAATATGTAGATAGGCCTGAGTGGGTCCCAGTCAACAGCTGCCCCAGGCAGCCCCACTGAAGAGGGAACTAGGCGCTATTTCCCGGTTTGTACATTTTATATCAATGGTTTCCCTGAGTTTATTTTATTCCAGTAAGTACCCTCCACACTCCTGTCCTGGGCTGCCCACACCTGGGTAGGAATCAGCCTGCGAACCGCCTAAAACAAACATGCCTTCCACCTTTATCCTAAAAACGGACCTAGCTGCCCACCACTAAAGGTGCTCAGAGGGTGCCTGCCCCTGGTCAGGTGAAGGGAGAGACACAATCACCCCTCT